ACAATGCATGCAGATTTGGGGCACTAGCGGTGCTGTTATGCAAGTATTGGAAGCGGAGAGCAAGATATCTTCTTTTAGGCCACGCACGAAGTAGACATTTTTAATTGTAACAAACAACAAGCTAACCATGTACCTCTGGAGGGTATACGGTCCGTCGAAGAATTTGGGTGGTTCTCATTTTTAGCGTTTGTTGCAACTCGCAAGCTTTTTACGCTTGGTCGCGCGATCGATGTCTTCAGTGCCACCCAGCGGCGTAGACTTTCCACTTTCCCGGGGAGGGGGCGGGGGGGGGGGGGGGGGGATTTTTCGCGCAATTTATTTTCACCGGCAATTATCAGTAGTTCATTTTAGGGAGTACATTTTACAGCGGATGTATATCGCCATGTGTCCGTCGTTGTGTGCGTTATTTTGTTTACATGCCACTACTAGAAGCTCGTTACATGGCACGTAAACAGCGTCTCACTAAGAATCATCGCACAAGGGGGGGAGGGGGGGCTCTGCCCCCCCCCCCCCCCTTCCTGGATTTCATCAGGGGGGCACGAGCCCCGATGCCCCCGCGTAGCCTACGCCTATGGTGACACCGGAGTACCACGAAGCGCTTTCTGCAACCAAGTCAGTGCTTTGAGGAAGCTTTTACATAATTCTGAATTCGTCTCCGCGTTTGATAACGTCAGCAGCTTTATGCTGCTTTTTAGGGGCGAAGCTTCTTACGGGCTAGCCATGTCCGTACGTCCGTCCGATGTCCGGCGTCGGGTGCTCGTGTAAAAAAAAAACGCATCTCCACGTGGTGAATGATGTTGATTGGGGCGAAGCTCTGGTGGTGCTTGTCTGCGTAGACGGTGAGCCGCAGCATGCCGAGCCTTTCGTTCGTTTTCAGACAAGGTTCGCCCCAATCAACATCATTCACCACGTAAAGATGCGTTTTTTTTTTTTTTTTTCAGTAATACGATTTGGTTTTAGTTTTCACGTTTAGGAACCAGAGGAATGAAATGGTGCACTTCAGCCTTTCCAGGAGTGGGAATGGGCCCAGTGTCTCGTTTCCGAGGAATTGAAAGGAATGGAATTGTCGGAAAGTCTTATTTTCCGAAAAGGAATTGGAATGGAATGGCGGTGCCCATTCCCAACGCTGGTAGCCAGAACCTGGTTCACGTTTAAAGGGGTACTCCACCGATTTTTTGAGCTACCTCAACTAACTATATTTTCTGACTCCCCGGCCTTTACTCTCTCCGGTATGCTATTTAGAATCGCGAAATTCATAATAGTTATTGCGAAATCGGCAAATGAAAATGATGCAAAAACCAACATTCAAATATACGCGCGCTTTTCAGGGCCGTGACGTCAGTGGCAGGCAGGCTTGTCAGTCCAGAAAGCAGCCAAAAAATAGAATATGCCAACCATTTGTTCCGTGCTGGAGCGCGGGTACTGCAGCGAGCTTCCCAAGCATTCTTTTGACACCATGAAACTGCTTCGAATCAGTTTAAAACAAAATCTACAGCCCAAAGAGTGAACCCCTGCCTTCCACTGACGTCACTTTTTCATTGTTGCCAGTAGAGACTTCGATCTTGAGAAACACGGTGAGGACCAAAACTGTAAATTCAATAACTTCGCGAAAAAACAATATTTTGACCTAATATTTGGGATACTATTTTCGCGATGTTTGTTGGTTAGTTTAGCAAAATTTCAAGCAAATCGGAGACAATGAAAAAATCGGTGGAGTAGCCCTTTAAACAACAAAATAGGCGTTATAATTTCGTTGCTCTATCCTTTTGAATCAGATTCTGTGACGTTTGGAGGTAAAAGGTAAAGAACTGTCTTTGTCTCGTAATTAAAGGCCGTGTAAATCAATTCAGCGAAATTGAAAAATATAATAACGCGAAGCTGGTCAGGTTTTTATTCTTATTTTTTTTTTATTTTTTTTTTTAATACAACCATTCCGGTAACAACAGTTTCAGTAGTTTCTGAAATGAAAGACCAAAACTTTACCAGAATAAATGCACCGCTCGTTACTGAATGAACAATTTTTGCTTCCCAGACCTGAGTTCCAGTAATGCACCTGGTATTTATTCCTTTAGATGTTTATTTTAAAAACGTAATGAAATTTGTCTTAGAGTTTTTGTTTGAAAGTGCTGGAGATTCTATTAAAATTTAGAAATATGACCATTTAAACTGTTTTGAATTCATTTTGAGTCAGTTTTGAAATTAAATATACTTACTAGATAAAAGTGGCCAAATATTTATTTACAATTAGTAGAGGCGTCTCCTATCTTAAAAGGCGTCTCCTATCTTAATTTTCAGGACATGACGAGAGTACTGACTATCGTAGTGTTTGCGTCTTTGTGTAAGTAAACTTGCCTAAACAATTCTCGCAAAAAAAAAAAAAAAAAGTTTTGTTCTTTTTGGAGTTTAGATTTAAGAGAGGGAGCCACTTAAACCATAATGGCAGACACCTCGTCAGCAGATTGGTTGCACGTGCGCATGCGTGGGTTTTCGGGTGGCGAGGATGATTGCGCACGGAGCGGCTGACCAAGGGAAATACTTTACTACACTCCGGGAGCACTTTTCTTGGCATTTCTGGGGAGAGGACAGCCCGCGCACAGCTTTATTTAGCGCTCAAAATGGGAGAGGGAACGCGTGCCTACACGCGGGCTTGACGTCACGGAGCTGCGGCGGCGCTGCGATCGCGCCGGAGCCGGGGGGTGTGGGCAAAAGCGCGCACGTTTTGCACGGGCGTCATAGGATTTCTGCACGCCGCGAAGCTGTGTTGCCGTTAATCTCACCGAAATGTTCAAGAAAAGCAGCGGAGCGAGTTTCCACAAGTTCCCGGCAGACTCTGAAAGGCATAGAAGGTGGATAATATCGGTGGATCGAAAAGAATGGTCGCCTCGCGCGAACGACCGTTTGTGCGGCAAACACTTTCTTGGAGGCAAGTGCGGCTTTCATTTAATCTCCGTCCCGAGGCTTGCTTATGTGCAGGGAAACCGTTGTCTGATCGAGACCACCCGGATTTTGTTCCCACGGTGTTCGCGCACAACGCACCGGCGAAACGCTCGTCGGAGGCTCGCTACGCCCGTGCTACCGAGCAAAAGGGGATCGGCGGCAGTACGGAAGTGTTGTTGGCGTTACCAAAAAAAAAAAGTAACAAAATACGTCACTCGTTACTTGCAAATAAAAGGTACGCGTTACTGAGCTACGTCACCTAAAAATAAAAGGAACGCGTTACAGCTACCGATAAAAAGTAAGGCACGTTACTTCTGCGTTACCTTTTTAAATTATGATTTAACACATTTTACGGTTTTGACGATACAGGTCATATATCAATAAACATTATGTTCATGCAGAAACTGAAGATAATTACTTTATCTCTTTTTTCGGTTTCACCTAAATACTTACGAGAAAAAACATAAAGAAAAACATGGCTTGACGCCTTCAACACGGAGACAATTGAAGTGTAATTTCTTTAAGACTTGGGAAGTAGTAACGACTAACGTAACTACGTTACTTGAAATAGTAACATAAGTACGTTACCCGTTACTGTGTCGAAAACGTAACAAGTAGTTTACTACGTTACTGAAAAAAAGTAACGCATTCCTGGTAACGCCGTTACTTGTAACCTGTTACCGCCATGACTGCAGAACGGACAAACCTTTACTGGTTGTAATGCCCTGTGGTCATGAGGGTATGAAATATATCGTACCTTGACTTGAAGACGCTCTGTGTATTTAATCGATTAATGAATACAGACACTTCCGCAGACCCACAGTCTGCTGATCCCGACGGCAGTGCGGAAACCGACTCGATGTAATCGTAGACCTCGAGAGACTTATACGCCTGCACCGTGTCGGCCGTGAACTGGCTTGGTGAAAAAACTAAATAAACGACGACCTGAGCCGTTGACTTCCGCGGCAGCAACTTTACGTCGGAAGTCCAGCAGACCTTGTTTACGGCGTACGGATCCTCGTAGGCAACGCCGTCCACGCACAGTTTGTTTCGATACCGCTACCGTTCAGGCTCCGGCAACGAGCTCAAATAGTCGGGCATAGCATGCGACATACGTTATGAGGAAATACGACGCACAAATAAAGATACGAGCGTCCCTACAACTTCAACAACGAGCGCACGCCATAGAGCGCAATGGCGAAAACACGGAGAGCAGGGCTGCTTTTGCCCACATAGCTACCGCGCATGCGCGGCCTTCCGGCCGTGTTGATAAACAGAGCCGCTCCGCCAGCGTTGGACAAAATACTCGTTAAAAATATTCAAATTGAGTTACCAAATACCTGCTTCATAAAGTATTTAAAATACTACTCAAGTTACTTTCCCTGCAAAGTATCTTGAGGAGAGTGCAAAATGTTATTCAATTAATTTTGAAAATACTTCCGGCATTGCGTAATTTCTATCGACGTCAGGGACAAACACAATTACACAGTTGCGCAAACCTGATTTACCAGAATTTTTTTTTTTTTTTAACACGCAACAGCACAAACAAAACACATCTTAGTGTTATTCTATGCAGTCCAACTATAGGGAGCAGGATATCACTGACACGTGTTACAAAATATTTCTGGGACAAAAAAGAAAGGAAAAGGGGACGCTTAAGTTATAGTGACATCGCTGAATATCACGTCCTGCGGCGCATCTTAGACGCATCGTTTCACTACAATCCATATTCCCCAAATAGGGAGCTCACTACGGAGAGAAGGGGAGGACAGAACGGGAGGAGGAGCAAAGAAAGAGGGGAGGAGGAGGGGCATACCCCCTGTTCCGTACCCTCCCCTCCTCCTCTTCAAGAACTTCGCTGTAATTTCGCATTACAGGGATTTGTAAACGTCTTTCAATTTTCGTCTTCTCTTCCTCTCTGTCTGGTCAAGGCAAACCTCTCCTTCGTCCTTTTATTATCTATATCACTCTCTCACTCAACATTTTTGCGGACATCGTTTTGTGATACGACCATTATGTTCTACATTGAAGAAACACGCCTCAGCCAGTGCCTGCAGACTGTCTTTTCAATCAATCAATCATTTTATTTTTCTTTCACCAGGAAAGATGGTAGCTGGGGCAAAAAGTTGCAACACGTGCAGCTTGACAAGGCCATATGATGCACTGGCAGTGCGACCGCGGCTTAGGTTTTTAAGGACGCCCTGCAGGGCGCCTCAAAAGAGAAATCAAGCGGAGTGTCAACGCAGGTAACTCCTGGGTGAGTAGAAAAGCGGCTGCTTCTGGCAGGCCCCGAGCGTCTTCGCCCAGAGTCGCTTCTGCTGCCGGCACGAGTCGACGCGAAGCTTGCAGCGACTGGCGTAGGTGACGCCGTCCAGGCCACAGACGGGCACAGCCAGCGGATCGTAGGCGCAGCTGCCCGGGCAGCTGCACTGGGCCACCCCGAGGCGGCTCTCGTTGCAGTCGCCGTTCCACGGGCAATACTTGGACTCGCAGGGCACTGCGGTGGGGACAGTTGGCGCAGTCTTTGACCGCTCGGACAACTCGAAGCGCCTTGGTTTCGGGATATGAGCGCTCTCTTCCTTAGAAAGTTGTCTTCAGTTCAATCCAGTCTGCTGCAGGTTAAAAAACCAGAACAAGCGCCCTCCCCCCCCCCCCCTTCTCTCCCCGCAAAGCCCTCCACTCTTTCCAATTTAACAGAGCGAACACTGGAGAGGAGGCGAGGAGGGACTGTGCGGAGCGACTGTTTGTCTGCTTTTGTGCTGGGGTTGTGGTGATGTCAGAACGCCGAGCTCTGATTGGCTCTGGTTGAAGGATAGTGGGTAGAACTCAAAGCAAGCTGCCTTGAGGTATACGCACTATCCTTCAGTCAGAGTCAATCAAAGCCCCGCGTCCTGACGTCAACATAACCCCTGTAAAAGAAGCAGACTAGCTTACCTCCGGATTGCTTTCTCCCCAGTTTTCGCTCCGCTAGTGGAAATTGTGAAGGGTATTGCGGAAGGAGCTTGTCCTGGTTCCTTCACCAGCAACATTGTATTTCCTCATTCTCGCGTGATTTGAAACGTGGTTGCGCCAGTGTGCAAACCGTGCAAACAGCCCTCAAGCACTTCCGGCTCTGAACTATAACGGTTGATTTCGTAGTGTTTGTGAGATCAACCCTACTCGCTCTCTTGGGGACCTGGTCGCTTATAGCACTATCAGACGTAACTCACTCTTATGGTGAGAGAACGACGCGTAAAACACTAGGAAATATTCGCTTACCGGAAATGTGCCAGGAATGCCCGATAGGTAGCATCACTGATTTTGTTGCCAAACAAAAAAAAGGCGCATAGAAAACAGTACAGCAAAACTCCACCTAGACGCTGTGCTTCGGAACATACGCATTCCCTAGGATGCACATGCAGTTACCATAGCAGCCGTCCGGCCAACACCTCCTGAATAACAAAGCCGTAGTTCTGATAGAGGTGGCGTCTTCAGCGAAGGCCAACACTTGTCACACATTGGACACGACGATTGCGTCAACGTTCGGCTCAAACTTGACTCGAAGCCGAGCACTGACGCAGCATTCGTTTCCAATCTGTCTCCGGTGACGCAAAAATGTCAGCACTACGGCCTTGTCTTTTAGGTGGTGTTGGTCCGGCGCGTCGAAAGACAGGAGGCGAGCCGTCGGGTGGAGAGGGGAGCAGGGCTTGTGCAAGCAGCGTCAATGAGCAGTTCCGTAACTGAGCTAATCTAATAACATTGTTGGGGATCTTTCACTGCATAAACGAGTGACTGCTGAGCGCGTGCTGACGGCAAAATTCCGCAGTTGTTGTTTTTCAGCGTGCATTTTATTTTATTGAGACTTTCGGTTTTGGCGACCTTTAAAGGGATACTTCAGCGAAATTTGAAATATTCCCGTCGTGTTCAAAAATAGGTTGAATATGATCCACAATATCCGTAAATGGCAATCGCACGTTTGTATTTTGAACCTGGTGACTGTATTTTTCGTTATAAACGGCCCACTCTGGCAGGCGCTCGGAGAAGGCCCAGCGGAGACCACGTGACATCCAACGCAATCGTGACGTAGGTCGCCTCAAGACTAGCAAAGCTACGGCGAGGCTGACGTCGAGAGGATGGCCTAGTCGTTCCAGCCACCGAAGCGGCTGCTTTTGTACAAATTTTGAGTGACGGGTTAATCCTCTATAATCTTGTAGGGGGACAATAGCGACTTCTGCGACACACAAAAGGCATCCTCGGGAAAAAGGGAGTTCCTCCTGCCCCTCTTCTCTCGTCGTGGCCGGAGGCGAGACAACCTCCCTCACTAGCTGCCAAGGTTGCTAGACGGGCATTACAAGCGAGGCGTTAGCGACATCCACCAGGTGCTCTTTGCCAATCGTTTAATTCGTTTTAAAATTCCTTTTCGTGACTTTTTTAACAAGATATTGGTATGTTCGATTTTATGGTGCTTTTTTGAACACATATAGACCAAAAAATGAGCGCCGAAATTTCGTTGTAGTATCCCTTTAAGGTGAGCTTGTTCTGAGCATGCGCGGTGAACAGCGCGGTCAAATCAGGCTTCCACTGAATGCCATCACCTACCCATATGTAAGTAACAGCGCGTTATTCAATACTTTTACAAATTAGCGTATTAATGGAAAGAACAGGTGGTTATGAGAGATCAGTATTTAGGTGCCCTGAGGAGGTTTCTGAGATCGCCTAAGTAGGGCGATAACTCACTCTGCAGGCACTAAGCATCTTTGAAATTCATAAATCGTAACGATGCGCGGCCGATTTTCTTATCAAGGAAGCAATCAAAGATAGAACACGCCGAGGTCATCTCCGACAATGAGAGGAGTATTGTTTCGGCAGCCAGGACAACATGTGACCATTGAAAACACGACATTTCGTTGAAATTGCAAACACTGTTATTACAAAATGTGTATGCTTTTGCAGAGAATAAAAGCAAATAAGAGTAGTCGAACAATGTTATTTTCTCGCGGAGAGAGAACATAGTACTGCAATAATAGTTTCAAAAACAGCGCACTATGTTGTTGTTAATGTATTTCGTTTGTTTTTTGTCTTCCGCGGGAGTAATGCGTCAGCTCTCGAGCTCGCTGGGGTGAAGCGTATAGTTCGGGCTGGTATGAGCAACGAGCCGCGCGCATTCGAGATATCACTCCGCGGTTCCACCGGTCAAAGGCACGAAGATGCTTTGCTTGCTACTGGCTGACCGTGGTCCTGATATCGGAACAAGCTCCTCCCATCTCCGGAGGTGACCTCGGTGTGATGCGATCTTTGATTTCTTTTTAATAGGAAAATCCGCCGCGTATCGTTATGATTTTTGGATTTCTAGAATGCCTAGAGCCAGCAGAGTGAGTTATCGCCATATTTAGGCCCGTTCACACTCTTGCGACCGACTTCGACCGAGAGAGACCAGACCGGTTTTTAAGCCTTTTGCGACTTCTTAGGACCGGATGCTATGCAGCGGAGCTGGTCCTAAGAAGTCGCAAGAAGCTTAAAAACCGGTCTGATCTCTCTCGGTCTAACTCGGTCGCAAGAGTGTGAACGGGCCTTAAAGGGATACTACAACGAAATTTCGGCGCTCATTTTTTTGGTCTATATGTGTTCAAAAGAGCAGTATCACATGGAACATACCAATATCTTGTTAAAAAAAGTCTCGAAAAGGAATTTTAAAACGAATTAAACGATTAGCAAAGAGCACCTGGTGGATGTCGCTAACGCCTCGTTTGTAATGCTCGTCTAGGAACATTGACAGCTAGTGACGGAGGTTGTCTCGTCTTCGGCCACGACAAGAGAAGGGGGGAAGGAGGAACTCCCCTCTTCCCGAGAATCCCTTTTGTGTGTCCCAGAAGTCGCTATTGTCCCCCTAGAAGATTATAGAAGATTAACCCGTCACTCAAAATTCGTACAAAAGCAGCCGCTTCGGTGGCTGGAACGACTAGGCCATCCTCTCGACGTCAGCCTCGCCGTAGCTTTGCTCGTCTTGAGACGACCTACGTCACGATTGCGTTGGATGTCACGTGCTCTAAGCTGGGCCTTCTCCGAGCGCTTGCCAGAGTGGGCCATTTATAACGAAAAATACAGCCACCAGGGTCAAAATACAAACGGGCGATTGTCATTTACGGATAATGTGGATCATATTCAACCTATTTTTGAACACGACGGGAATATTTCAAATTTCGTTGAAGTATCCCTTTAAGACTTTCCCGGTAAAGAAAATGTCCCACGGTGCCGTTGACACGCTAAGTGGAAAAGTGCAAGCTCCTCCCACCACCTCTTTTTTTCACCTTGGCAGAGCGAACGCTGGAGAGGAGCCGAGTCGCGCGACCCCCTCTACAGCGTTTATTCTACTAAAGAGCAAAGAGATGGGAGGAGCTTTCACTTGTCACCGATTAAAATTATGAGAAAAAAAAAAAGAGGAGAGAAGCAAACGGAGAAACATGTCTTATATCCCAAAGTATACTCACGGTCCCTTTCGTGCAGTCTTCTACGATACGGCTCGTCTGAAACCAGAACGAACGACGCAATACTTGTCAGAAACAGTGTAAAAAAAATGCCAGTCTTGGTGTCAGTTATACAGAAACCTTACAAACAACATTGTAAAACTTTCTCGGTGTCTTTTCGTTCGTTCGTTTATTTGCGCGTCAAGTTATACCGATCGGAGTCGACCGGGTATACGCCCTGATGGAGCCAATCAAGCAGAGCCAAAAGTAAATTGTCACGACGGCGCCAACCAATCACTAACCAATCACGCACAGTGAACGCGCCGCAATAGTGCGCTTTTCTTTTCTATTCGTTTTCATTTTTTTTTTTTTTTAGTTCAGTGCGTGGTTGCGGTGTAGTGATAGCAAACTCACAAAACTCGCAAAGTTTCACCCCGATCCGATATACCTTATTCAAAAGTTATTCGCGACTCCAGCGACCTATAGGGGGCGCCACCACCAAACAAACATGGCGGCTGAGTCCAGGTCGCGGCGGCTGGGCCGGGCCGCCTGAACAGGTGGCGCGTTCAATTTAACAGATTTTCTTTTGTTTAATGCCCAATTTTATAGGTATTTGAACTGAGACGGTTTAGTGTAGCCGGTGCAGATAAACTTGCAAAGCATAGTTTTGTTTTGCCGGTGTTTTTTTGTTATTTTCGTGTCAAACTTTCGTTTCGGAGATTTCGTTCAAAACCGAAACTGTGGGCTCCGGAGAGATGGTAATATACTAATCAGTTTTGATCTTCTAAGGAAAGCGGTGATAACTATAGAATTGTTCCACAGAGAGTAACTTTTCAGCTAACTCGCATGCCTCGACCATGCGACTTATCTGTCCGCGAAATCGAGCTTTTGTGCGTATCCGCGTTTACGAAACAGCTCCAGTCGTCTGCTCGGCCAACAACACAGGCTGCAGGAAAATTACGAAAATTAAGCAACCGCTTCTTGAGCCAAGGACCATGTTAACCCGCCGGCGCCCCACACTGTTAGAAAATTCCATCAATCTACGTGGAAAAACCGAATAGAACATGTCCAGTTTTCTGGAAATGCATGCAATGTGCTGTTTGCTTTCAAAAACGGGAACTGTACCATATGCATTGAAATGTGCTATTTAGGCAATAAGTATGAGCTTATCCGTATAAATAAAAAAAGCCTTACAAGACTACAGTTTATAGTCGGTTCAACTGGTATAAGCGGATTGAACGCGCCCAAAAGTGCCGGATATCCAGCAATTTTTATGGAACTCTATCAGACCGCGGAAGTACAGTGCCCGTGAGCCGTGTTACGCCACGCGCAGGAAGACATCTCTCACCCGCGCATGCGCAAGCCGCTGCCGGCCGGTGTGGGCCCGCGAGCTGCGGAGTGCTGCTGCCCGTTCGGAAGGCGAGTTCGACGTTGTTATCACGTCGTCAGAGGCGTTCAGCGGTGCGTAGACGGCTTTGTTTTCCAAGGTACGTATACGTTAAGTTGTTCCTAACGCAGTGTTATTTTACTATCTCTATGGGTGTCGTATATTCCAAGTTCGGGATGCCCAGCGTGTAGCGTCTCGTCTTCCCAGCTGCATAAAGCTAGGCCTTTTATAGTTCCTGATTCGGGGCGGCATGCTGCCCGACCCTACTTAGTATTGATGGTATGCTGCGCTGCGTAGTTACGCGGAAAAAACTGGAGAAATGAAGTTAATGCAGAAGGACAGACAAAACATGCATGAATTGGCGCAGACTAACAACTGTTTAATTTCTTTCTCTTTTTTCTCCCCCGACCCGTATTTCCAAAATTGCGGCTAAGAAAACGAATGGTTGATGTCTTGAATTTGTTGGCTTCTGAACTTGATGGTGTTTGCTGTAGCTGCCTCTTTTATATACGAACTGGATGGTGTGTTTTTTGTAGCGTTTACCTGGGGCCTGATGTTTGCTCCGACAAGTTTGGTATCTTATTGAGTAGATCTATTTCTTATTGTCGCAAAGCTATAGTGATAGCTCACTGACGCACGCTCCGTGTCTACCCGAGGCCATGTGAAAAGCCTCGATTATTTCACGCTTTGTTCTGTCCTTTGATCTGGCCAAGATGGAAGTAGTGTCAAGGAGAGCTTTGCAATTGCATTTTGAACAATGCGTTGCAAGGTTGCCAGGTGCTTGCAGTTGTCCGCATGCATGGCTGTGCTCCCTTAGTCTCTCGTTAAGGCATCTCCCAGTGTGTCCGACGTAGGATCTTCCACACGACAGTGGTATTTTGTATACCACACCTTCGACACATTCAACAAATTTGCTCCTGTGTTTCACTTGACACAGTGCCTTGCTGTTAGTCTCGTCCACTTCATTGTTGACCCTCCTGCATAATCCTTTGAGCCTGAAAGGGGCAGATAGTGACACTCTGACTTCGTACCTTGCGGCGATGTTTTTTATCCTGTGTGAAAAATTGTGTATATATGGCAGTACCACCATTGGTCTTTGTCCAAGATCTTCTCCTTGGTTTTGCACTTTCCTGTGAGTGTGGAAATACATTTTTCTGCGACAGCTACCAGCATGGGTTCAGGATAATCGCTTGCGTGTAGTCTGCTTGTCTGCCTCTGTAAACTTTCTGAGACTTTGTGGTGACACGATTTTTGAATTGCTCGCCACATGCATCCTGAGGCAACACTCCTCTTTACTAACTTTGTGTGTCCAGAGTCATACGGCAGAATTCGTTTTTTTCTTCTAGTTTTGTACATCCAGCATGTGTGTCTGTAATCAAAAGTCATGTGGATGTCCAAGAACTGAAGGCTGCTTTTCTCAGGTAACTCAAAAGTAAAATCCAGTCCTCTGTGCGCTTCTCGAAACTTCTCCATGATCTTTGTTAGTTTGTCTTGTCTGTTAGTTTGTGTATTGGAAAACACACCAAAAAATCGTCTACATATCTAAAGCACTTCCTGACTTCATTTTTCTGGAAAAACCCCTGTGGTTCTCTATTTCCTTTTGCCATGTACAGGTGGTACTGCCATATATACACAATTTTTCACTCAGGATAAAAAACATCGCCGCAAGGTACGAAGTCAGAGTGTCACTATCTGCCCCTTTCAGGCTCAAATGATTATGCAGGAAGGTCAACAATGAAGTGGACGAGACTAACAGCAAAGCACTGTGTCAAGTGAAACACAGGAGCAAATTTGTTGAATGTGTCGAAGGTGTGGTATCCAAAATACCACTGTCGTGTGGAAGATCCTACGTCGGGCAGACTGGAAGATGCCTTAACGAGAGACTAAGGGAGCACAACCATGCATGCGGACAACTGCAAGCACCTGGCAACCTTGCAGCGCATTGTTCAAAATGCAACTGCAAAGCTCTCTTTGACACTACTTCCATCTTGGCCAGATCAAAGGACAGAACAAAGCGTGAAATAATCGAGGCTTTTCACATGGCCTCGGGTAGACACGGAGCGTGCGTCAGTGAGCCATCACTAGCTTTGCGACAAGAAGAAATAGATCTACTCAATAAGATACCAAACTTGTCGGAGCAAACATCAGGCCCCAGGTAAACGCTACAAAAAACACACCATCCAGTTCGTATATCAAAGAGACAGCTACAGCAAACACCATCAAGTTCAGAGGCCAACAAATTCAAGACATCAACCATTCGTTTTCTTAGCCGCAATTTTGGAAATACGGGTCGGGAGAGAAAAAAGAGAAAGAAATTAAACAGTTGTTAGTCTGCGCCGATCCATGCATGTTTTTGTCTGTCCTTCTGCATTAACTTCATTTCTCCAGTTTTTTTCCGCGTAACTACGCAGCGCAGCATACCATCAATGTCAAACCAACTAGCCCAACTCCAAGCATTCATTATTCCTACTTAGTAGTTGGGCACTGGGAGGGCACAGTTTTCGCAGTACTCCCGCATTATTATGCCAAGTCGCTATCAACATGCGTGCTTCATTGCGTCGAATTAAACTTGTTTCGCCGCCAAGTTCAACCTCACATGGTTCAAAGTTTAGCGCTTGATCGGGGAGGGGGATGGGGCAATTGGAGGATGAGGGAAGATTGGATTAGAAGGCGTGAACATTGGTCAGTTATGTTTTAAGGAACGAAGTATTTTCATAAGGTCGAAAGCGTAATATATTCTCAATACAGCGTTTGAGAAACGGAGCTTGTTTTTAACTTTCTTTTTTTAAATGCGTCTGAAAGCATAATGGAGCACTGCGTTCCTCTGCTACTCGACCGTGTGAGCGATCTTGGCAGCTTGCTAAATATGCGGTGAAATAAGGGTGGCACCTGCTTGATGCAGAGAAATAGTGCAGGCTTTTGCATCTTAGGAATAGTAACGCATTATCGTGCGATATTTTGAGTCGCCCAGTAAAGTTATCCGCGTTGAGCCAGTAATCAATCATCGTCGTGGTAATACTCGTGTGCGTGCCGCGGATGCTCCGGGCGTTTTGCGTACTAAATTAATGCCATTTTTTCAGGACTGATATTTCCTGAATAACTTGAGCTTCTGATAAACGAATTTACTTCGAAATTACCCCGGTCGAGTTGAAACCTTTATTGTAATAGGTGGTATTCACTGGACGCCACATCGGAGCTCTCTGAACGCTGCGCATGCTCAGAGTGAACTCCCGCTTATGGCCTGAGGACACCCTTTTTATGTAGAGTAATGCTACATGCACGACGTCGTGCAGCTCAACCGGAAGTGGCTGTACACACGACGCGCGTTGATGTTCTTTGATTGGACGACCCGAATCCTGGCCATAGTGGCAGAGCTTCGCTCTGCCAATAAAAATTACTTTAGAGCCCCTCAAACAAATATTTTCGCCCCATCATGACCTAATCAACCTCGCAATTGACGAGCTTGCTCGTGAATATGCGACCAGAGTCGCGCATTATGCATGCAGCCTCACACATTCAGGAGCATGCTCGTGAATTGTAATTGGATTCTAAATGTCCAGTTCGCTTTTTTTTTTTTTGAGGATGGGATTTGACTTGTTTTCATCGCTTATCAAGTTCATTCACCTCAACGGAGTGCGATTTCTCATTGTGAATTAAAGGAAAATACTGTATA